AAATATGTATACACACAAGGATAATATTCCATAATATATGTGTATACATCTTTTTTGGAGGACCTGTATGTGTCCCAGAAGATAAAAGAAGCTGTTCAGTTTTTCATCTGGTGACGTTTGATATCCGAAACCAAAACTAAAGTACACCCCCAGCCATATTCTACACCAGCATAATCTCGTACCACAAAGCTGTTTGTTTTCCGCTGAAGGGCTTAGTCATTTGTTCTCTGCTCGTAAATTAAACTGTATCTAGCGCCGTGCTGGTTCGGCATCTTCTCCAGCAAGGGAGCAAGACAGGCTGCCTAAATCACACGTTCCGTAACAATGAGAAGGGACTTCCATTCGATCCTGTGCACGCATTACAAAAGCGATTCTTTAGAAATATATACCGTGACTGCATTAACTTTTCCAATCAAACGTTTGTGACTAATCCTGCGAGGCCAGCAGGCACTATTAATACTTTCACAATTTAACGATCAATAACCATTGATTTCAACTACATCAAGTTGGTTATACAGTTTCGCAGCGCTGCCATATTCGTAATTGTTAAACCATAAAATTTAATAGTCAATAACTCTTCATTCTATCCTCATACTGGAGTTATAGCTTGTGGAAGGAAGGGATAGTGGCCTAAGTTATGCTCATTAAATTTGGTCACGACCGCTTCCTTCCAAATCCTTTCCTATTCACTATTCATCGTCATTCGACTATACTGCAGGCCAGTTCTACCGTGACATTATTTGTACACGCAGGCTCTATACAGTGCATCACAGAAATTATAACCACAATCGTAAAATATTCTTTTACTAGCTGAAGATGGGATCGGAAAATTTTTGAAAAATTTTCGAAATTTTCGAAAAATCAAAAAATGCTGGAAAAATGTCTAAAACGCGCACAAAACCAAAATTTTTCGAAATTTTTGAAAAAATATTCTTTTATTAAGCAAAGATTTTGTTGTTGTACAACAATCGTAAATTTTAATTTCTGTACGATACTTTGCGGAAACAATGCACTTAAACGAAAGACTGTTCGCTCATCCGTGGTCTACCATGTACATGTACATCTGTACAATACGGCCAAACGTTTTAAAATGTCAACGCTTCGAAGCTTTCGTAATTAAGCAAAGATAAGTAATGATCTTCATTTTTATATGGTACTTTGACACAATTCAAAAAAAAAATTCCTTAAGTACTATTTTAGAGTTTTTCCTCGATTTTGTACAGGTGATTTTATAGGGGGAAAAAATCGATTCAAAGTGACGGAACACGGCATTCCGTTATGTGAATCTAGCAGCAAGAAAACCGAGACGCGACTCTTTAAGAGGTTTGAACCGCGGACTCCCGATTGTGAGGCACACAGACACGCTGCCTACTACTGTGTCATCTCCTCCAAGGCCAGATGGAGCTGTGTACACAGACATCTTGCAAAGCCATTAGCAGAGGATGACGAAAGTTCACACAGTCAGTACTGACGTCAATGGAGCCTTATTTCAACAACGACAGAACCAGTAACGGGTTTTGTCAGCCCTGTGCTTACTAACAAACAAGGCCGTTTTTCTTATCATACAGTTGTTCAGCTGGTTACAAAATCCAAAAGAGATTACAGTGTTTGCAGTACCCCACCATTTGATCCTATTCTCAGACTGCAGAACTCGGTTCACACGTATTTATCAAAGATCCATATTAAACTTTCCCTCCCATCTACTTCTAGGTCTCAAAATTGCCTCTTTCTTTACAGTTTTCCGGCCACAATTGCGTATCCATTTATCCAATGCGTGCTGCATTCGCCGCCCATCTCATGCGCTTAAAAGTGTTAGAGGAGCACGCGGGCATGAAGACATATGGAGGGAGCATTGTTGATCGTAGGACAACATGATGGTGAAATATCAGAACCACCTCCAGAAGTCAAAGCCCCGTCGTCCAGCCCTGAAGATGCACGCAGTATGTTCATCCGAAACGGTGTCTATGTACAAGTTCACACGGCGTTACATCCCAGAAGACCAAACTCGACGGAATTTCCCTAATTATTTGTCACAATCTCAAGATCTGCCCTTTGAAGACGAAACTCGTCTTTACATTTAAGAATCCGGCCCGTACCGCAAAGAAAACACAACACTTTACCGTTTAAAATATCAAACAGCCCTATTTTTTTTAATCAGAGAATCATACGAAACACACAAATACAAGACGAAGAGATACTGATTGTTGAAACATGTGGTACATATAATTACCACTGGGATTTAAAGGGTCGACGATACTGTAATTTCCACAACCTTAAATTCTGAAACATTTTAAATGATTCAGCGCAGGTTAAATTTCCTTTTAGTTACCAGAATAATAAATGAAATTCGGCTACGCGCGTTTTTCTTGAAGGACGAAATTACTGTCAGCAGAGTTCAATCCTTTCGAAGGGCAAGGCAAGTTCCCGACGAAAAAGAAACTGCTGCATCTCCATGGACCAAGCAGTTTGTTCCCGCTGACACTGCCAGTAGCATCCGGCAGTCTCCTACACGCGGTGTGTATATTAATAACTGAACAGCACGTGGTCGCAGCATGGGCGCAGGAATGACACAAGGCAAGGGTGTTTCAGAACAGGGCATTCACTGGACCTTAGAGGGATTTAGCGACAGGAGGTACTTTGTATGAACACTCACAAACAACAGGAGCAAAGCTTCTAACCCCGCAACATAACACCACTTACAAAACACGCTTTATTTAAATGATCTATTAGACTATTTAACGACGCCTGTCCAACTACATGTTGCTAAACGTCGAATGACAGGATTATGAATGACGAAGGTCGTAGCAATTGCTTGGAGGTACTGAGTAAAACCACGAAAGTCAAACGACAGTACCTCGGGGCAGGAAGTTCCAGCATAGGAAGCTGGAGTGCCAGGAGATCGACTGTCTCTTTTCAGAGTGAAACGTCTTTCAGCGTCTGATGGGGAGACCTGGGGGTATATAAATAAGTTCACATTCATCGGCTACCTACAAGCACTCGCGAGGTCGGAAAGAGGCTGAAAGGCAAAGTGTGACACATCTTCGAGAAACTACATTTAGCGAACGCAGAGGCGGGAGGGAGAATTTAAAAAACACGCAACTTCACACGAAAACACTGGAATCTTAAAGAGGAATGATGCAGTGCTTAATTGAGGATAATTACATGAACTTACTGATTTATACGATCAATGTATTATTGATAGCATAGTGTGACCAAAAAGCTTCGTAATGTATGATACCCACGACGACATTTTAAATTCCAATATCCGAAATCCTGACATAATCAGCTCCACTATACAGTCGATGGTTCTACCTAGAAAACTACACCTCGTCACTGTTTAAAAATCAACCCAGTGATGTTCTGTTTCGCGAGGTGCCCTTTGGAGGTCCATAGTTCGCAATCCGACCTGATAACTCCGCACTTGGACTGTGCCCAGCGCCGTCTTGACCATCGTTCAGTGGGATTTCCACGTCAGAGCTAAAACCTGGTGGCCAGCTCATCAGGATTTTGATGCGGTCACCGATGATTCCACGATTGCGTGAACAGCTTGCTGCTGAGTGCATGAAAATGTAGTAAAAGGTCATCATGTCTCAGCGGAGAGCAGGTCAATGTAGCGACGGTGAAGATTTACTTAAACGTAATCAGCCAACTGATCGTTGTAATGGTGAAGTTTTGTGTTTTCTTCGCGGTACGGACTGAATACTCAAATTCGGATTTTTAATTTTTTTTTCTAATTTTTGGAGATATTTTGCAAATTTTTGGAATTTTTTTTCCAAATTTGGAACATCTGAAATTTTGTTAGTTGTATGAACTTTTTAAGGAGACGGCGTTCTATTTGCTGCTCTGACGTGTATACGCGCGCCAAACGATTCATGTAGTGAAACTACTTTTCATCAGTAAGTGTCAGGAATCTGCGGGTTTATTTGCATACGTGCGAGCTTGTTTGTTGCGAAATTTCGGATTTGCAGACTTGTCGGTAGATGCAAGTGTTTCGGAGAAACATACTGCTTCTATCTTCAGGATATCATGTTTCTCTGAAACGCTGGAATCTACCGACAAGTCTACACGGCGCCAAAACCCAGATCAGAATCATCCTCATCGCCATGGAAACCTAAAATCTTCTTTTAACCGGCTCAGAACACAGACAAGAAGCAGTGATATCTGCTTCTGCACATCGAGTCATGCTCTGGTTATGTAATTCAGCAAAGACTTCTTACAGTCAGAAACAAGAGGAATTCAGTTAAGCACATACATATACAGGCTGCCCTAAAAAGATGTATACACACATTCAATGACTGAAATAAATAAATATTAGTAAACTAAACAATTACATTGGGCACTTGGTGAATTAGCGAATCTACTTTAGGTGTTAAAAATGACCACTGTTAGCTTCGTGGCGCAGTTGACAGCGGCGAGAAACTGAATGAAAAGGTTAATGTTCCGTATTATATGGTGTACGTACACTTCTTTTCGGGACACGTGTATTCTCCTAACGAGCTGTTTACATATTTGCACTCCTGGACGAGAATGTCTCTTCCAGGTAAACAAGCCCCTGGAATGGGCGATGCAGGGTTACCAGCAAACGTTCCACAACTTCTCTGCCACGTATTCTCACGGCATTGACGAAATTTCCCGCGGTGTTCTGGGTTCACACCACGTAGCCTCGCAGGTTAGGTTACCAACGCTTCGGAGGAACGTATCGCCACCATTTTCAGGGTTAATTTAAGGTTGATTTTAACCCTGAAGATGGAGACAGTATCTTCATCCAAAACACTGGTAACCATGTTTTTTTTATACATGGCGGCACGACACAGAACACCTCAGTGGTCTCCAAAATTTTATTCAGGGACATCTGGTTCAAATCCTTCCCGTGTTATCGAAATCACACTCCCTCGTTTTTCGTGGCAATCTTTAATCTCGGTCGGTGTTACAGTATAACGCATGTGGTTGATACAGCGCCTTCATGTAAATTAAGAATTATAAAAAAAAATTCACCGTACCTGTTCTGGCACCTACTGCAGTGGCCTTACAGCAAACGGAGAACCGCCCTGTTCATATGCACACGCGCGGGGTATAAGATCAACTAACACATGAAAGGCGACGATGGAGCCTCCAAACCGGAAGTACATGTCCCCCCCCTCCTCCGGCCCTATCTGGGATTCTGTGATGCATACATCATCGGTAGAGCCCACGCCACTACTCAGAACACCCGATTTCATTGTCTATGTTAAATTTATTCTGGAAAGAAAAATTAGGTGGAGTCGACAGAAGATTTTGTCATATTATCAGAAACATTACACAGCGGTATTCTACAGTGAGGATGTCGGGCGGAAGGGAACCGCCTTACCGATACGCGGGATCACAGCGTCGGTTGCCACATTTCCAATCCACACGGCACAGCCGCCAGATGTCCTCACTGTATTTTTGAATACAGTGGATTCCCGTTAATAGGGACACATCGGGACTAGAAAACTTTGGCCCAATTAAGCGAAGTTCCACGTAAAGAGTTAAAAAGGTTTGTTCCTTTTAAGATTTGTCCCTGCCTCGTCACACGCGTCCACCAAGCTCGTACCTCGCCCGATCACCAGTTAAGGCTTTGACCGGGATGTTAAATCTTATGTGGTACCGCCTGATTCGACTTCTAATGGTTAAGTGAAGTGTTTTCTTCGCGGTACGGTCTGGATTCGTAAATATTATGAAGACGAGCTTCGGCTTCAAAGGGTTAACCAGCTGATTTTCGTAATGGTGAGGTGTAGTGTTGTCTTCGCGGTACGGACTGAATTACTTTGTGGACGATCTTCGGCTTCAAAGGGTTAAACAACCGTTCTTGACAGGGTTTCCGCTGGCTACGCTCTGAACGTTACGTGACCTCTACAGTCAAAACATCGTCGTTAAATAACTCGAGAGCTGAGTTGCGGACTCCTTTCCCTCCACAGATTCGTAACTTCCAACAACCAAATCCCTTGGCCATGATGCACATCGGAGTGCAAGGCATTATGGGCTGTTGTCCCGCCCAACACGTGTGCCACTTTTGTACTTAATATATCCGCGACTGAAACATTGTGTTGTGGCGCCGTGGATCCTATAGGCTGCCCCGGAAACTCAGCTCCACACACACACACCATATGGTACATCTAGCTACCACCCTATCTGATAACGGTAGTCTTCAGCCCGAAATTCTGGTTTTGTCTGCAAGACAGTTAAGTTTGTGAGGGGGCAGAAGGAAAACAAGTTTACATACCGCACCTTTTTCCGTTCGACTGCGAAAACTTACAGCGTTTTCCGATCTGGAACAAACTTCTTCGGCTGTCAACCCCTTCAAGACCAACGGTAAAAAAAGTTGTTGAACGTAATTTAACATTAAATATTTCTGCATTTTTGTACACAGCCACGGTGGTCTAGCGGTTAGAACGCTGGCCTTGTAATCCTGGGGTCTCGGGTTCGAATTTATAACTTGTGTTGGGCAAGATCGTGGTCTAGGCAACACGGGGTTTTCCTCCGGGGGCTTCCCCGGTTTCTCTGTGGCATCCCAACAATTACTCCATTCGCACACAGAAGAAGTCAATGGCAAACCACTTCTGGATCATCTGCCAAGAACGTATATGAACAGGTCCCAGTCCGAGAAAAGGATGGAAGGATCCTGTTCATATGGACCTGTCGTCAGACAGAATACTAATAATAAAAATAATAACCAGTCTGTAGCGCCGTATAGTCTGGTAGAAGTTTATCATCATCGCCATGATGATGGCAGCAGCGAGGACCTTTGAAACGTTGGTCGATCGATGTAATTGTTAACTGTGGCAGACGAAAAATTCAGTCACGATTATTATAGTCATAGGATTTCAGGGGAAACTGAACACTTGCAAGACATAGGAATAGATGGGAGAATGATAATATATGGATTGGATTGAAATGGCTAGGGATGGGGTACAATGGCGGGATATTTTTGAGCATGGTAATTAACTTTCCGACTTCATAAAACAGATGAACGAGTATCAATTTCAGATATTTTGGGCCCTGTTACCATCGAGGGCATACGACAAGAACGTACAAGCTTAGAAGCTTCTTGGGAAGCTGAAAATCATTTTGTGGAAATAAATGAAGGCGGACCTCACGCTGGGCAAGCAATTGGTATCGATGTGAAGTGGATCTGCGCGCGTCCGATGCACAACTAAAGAAATTAATGAATGACTTCATTCAGTGAAGTTTAATGAACCCTTGTTAATGAACATAGTTGAAAACGTTATCAATACCATGTCCTGTCACTGAACAAAAGTATTATTTAACGACGCCGTATCGTATGCGGAGCAGAGGAAGTCGTCGAGACTTATTTACGTGTTTCTGCCGTGGTTAGTACCGTAACAGAGGTCCCTATTCCACATACTGATAATAAGAGAGAGCCCTCACATGTGTGTGTTTGTCGTAGTTGCTATGTTAGGTCTGACACTGATATTGCCCATTTAACTTATAAGTGTGCCTCTTTGGACAAGCCTCAAGACGTTTCCGTACCAACAAAATAGTGCTATAAATTTATCTAACAACATTCCCAGCCCATCTCAGTTGCATTGATATCCTGACAGTTCTAGGTGGTCTCTATAAATTTGGAGATTTCGCGTTATGTAATATGAATTTACCCCTTAATTTGTCTTAGGTAGTCTAGCGGTGGTCTAGCGGTTAGAACGCTGGCCTTGTAATCCTGGGGTCTCGTGTTCGATTCCCGGCGGTGCCCGAATTTATAACTTGTGGTGGGCAAGGCCGTGGTCTAGGCAGCCCGGAGTTTTCCTCCGTGGCATCCCAACAATTACTCCATTCACACACAGAAGAAGGCAATGGCAAACCACTTCTGGATCATCTGCCAAGAACGTATATGAACAGGTCCCAGTCCGAGAAAAGGATGGAAGGATCCTGTTCATATGGACCTGTCGTCAGACAGAACACTAGATAATAATAATAAGTTTCATTACCCCAAGGCACATCATCAGAAGGTGGTCAACTTTGAGTAACCTAGTGTTCAACTTTACTTTATCTTGTCTTGAGATTGAATAAAACTCTTCATATTAGTATCTACAAACTGACAAATCTTCTACATTTGAAACACTTAGCTATTTCAACTTACCCGCCAATCCTACGAAATACTACCAACATCTAAGGAAGCCGATTACCAACTTTACCTCAGGCACTTCAAATGTATTACAGTACTTTCTTCGTATTCTGGAGGCAGAGTCTGAATATGGACAATTAACTGAGAGAAACGTCGAAGAAAGTTATCATATGTAAGACTCCTCACACCCTATTGGCATATTCATCGCCCTGATGACGGAGGCAGTATGACCTCTGAAACGTTGGTTAACATCGACCAGACTACACAGCGCAATAACCCAGAAGACGGAAATCTTCAAAGTGATCATAACCTGTGTTAAATTATTATCCGAGAGGGCAAACTACAGAAACCAAAAATTAAGACAGTCAGAATGTGGACCAAGTATCAAACCCGAGACCTTATGAATGCGATGCAGGAGTTTAAATTGCTTAACCAACCCAGGTTTTTAAGTGTTCTTAAGGTAAATCCAGTATAGCAGTTCTTATCTTGATGACACAAATATCAATATTTGTAAATATGTTGAAAGTATATATAATCTTTCTTCAAATATTTGAATTAGAGAAATGCGTCACTTCTGTTTTACTTTCGCTCAGCTGGCTCAGAAATTACCTGTCATCTACCGAAACAAATTTTAAAAAAAAAAAATCTTGGGAGCTGAATAAGATCATCAAATTTCTTTTTCGTCTTCTTTCTCGTACGGTTTCGACCTATTCGACCCTTTCCGAGGACTCACAAAACTTGTCAAACCATCTCATTCATGGTCTTCCCAAATACCATTTTCCTCTAGACCTTCGTGGTAATTTGTGGTCCGCTATGAACCCACTTCTCCTGGTATGTGTTAGTAATTCAATTTTACGTTTGTACAGACAATCATTCATCTCTTTTCAGAAATAAGGAAAAAGGCAATGGACAGCCTGTAAAAAAAAAATATCCCGACACGACACCTAACCTATTCGACTGTGCACGACCTGAGAACACCCAACCCAGACCGAACCCAACATAACACACACAATTTTTGAAATTTTTAAAATTTCTAAAATTCATAAAAATTGTCAAAATTTTAAAATATACATTATTTAAATTTCTCTCATTAAATATCACCGGGGCTCTATAACAGCTCCCCTTTTGGGGTTATCATTTGCTGTCAAGGTGTTTGGGGCTTACGTGATTACATAACCATCGCCATTTAAATTTTGTTGAGCAAACAACCGCGGATAGAGGAGGCGTAATCTTCCAGTACATGGAGATAGGTAGGGCGATAATGTCAAGGAGACGAGGAAATCACTTAAACGACTTGGGCATAGTTTGGAGGATAATATTAAAATTGATTTTGAAGAAACGGACTGAAATGGTGTCCGTTGGATTCACGTAGCTCAGGAAACGTATAAGTGGTGGGCTCTTACGACTCGTATGAAAAACATTTAAGAATTCAGTCCGTACCGCAAAGAAAACACCACACTTCACCATTACAAAGATCAACTGGTTAACGCTGTTTAAGGAAATAATCGCTGTTTACAGTGAGAATCATAGTTCGTCTGATTAATATTAAAGAATTCAGTCCGTACCGCGAAGAAAACACCGCACTTCACCATTACAAAGATCAACTGGTTAACGCTGTTTAAGGAAATAATCGCTGTTTACAGTGAGAATCATAGTTCGTCTGCTTAATATTAAAGAATTCAGTCCGTACCGCGAAGAAAACACCGCACTTCACCATTACAAAGATCAACTGGTTAACGCTGTTTAAGGAAATAATCGCTGTTTACAGTGAGAATCACAGTTTGTCTGATTAATATTAAAGAATTCAGACCGTACCGCAAAGAAAACACCACACTTCACCATTACAAAGATCGACTGGTTAACGCTGTTTAAGGAAATAATCGCTGTTTACAGTGAGAATCATAGTTCGTCTGATTAATATTAAAGAATTCAGTCCGTACCGCGAAGAAAACACCGCACTTCACCATTACAAAGATCGACTGGTTAACGCTGTTTAAGGAAATATTCGCTGTTCACGAAACACATAAATATAAAATGACGTGTTATTAATTGTTGAAGCAGGTGGTACATATAGTTACCATCGGGCTTTAAAGGGTTGGTAACGCCGTTCAAACGCCCTGACACAAACGATCTGGTTTTTGAGTAATCATGAGAGAAGTCCGCACCCTTTTACACTATCTTAATGTTATCAGAATTTTAATTCATGCACAGATTATCCCACATAATCTTGTGTAAATATTCCGATACTATTCGTTACTTTTCCTTCACTGTCTTCCTTAAGTAAAGGCGACTTAGACGATAAGTCAATATTTTAAAGCAGTTTATCGATTTTCATACCGATGGAGCATTACTAATTCCATTAAACAGTTTTCATTTAAGAATTTCAATATTCTCCCGCTAGCCAGAAAATTATTATTTTCATTACCAACATCTGTTGTGAACAACACGGAAAAATTTCAAACATATTCAAATGTTATTTATTTA